CCCTTGTACCTTCATTGACCTCACTCTCATGTAACTAAATTTTTGCATTACCAGAGGAGCTACTGCTTCTCTCGTCTTCCATAGTCTTAGACTCAGATAGGACGTTAAACCAATCAACCAACCAACCAACCAATCAATCAATCAATCAATCCTTTGTTTGTTTGTGTTGAAGTTGTACTTTAAGCAAAGCTCGTAAGCACTATTCGATTGGTTCTCGAGGATGAACTCTGGCTCTGGAACAGTAGGGGTAAGTCGCCTGGGTGAAACACCTAACGACGGCTTGGGGTAACAATGAGTAGTACAGGCAATCTGTCTAGCTCGAGGGTTGGTTGAGATCCAATGACAAACTTAATTGACGAGGTTGAACACGAACCATAAGGGTTGTGTTCCTACACATATATATACAGTTCACTAGATCTGCTCCTTGACAAGCAGAGTCGGTCCTGGCCAATCCGGATGGATTGCGGTTCGTCAACGAGCATCGTACCACGTTCGTTGACGAGCACCACGTCATGCTCGTTGACGAGCACTCACGTGACATTGCTCGTTGACGAGCTCCGTCACGTGTGTCAGCTTGGCTGAGAGCAATCCCCTAGGCGCCGGCTGGGCGGCCTTGCCTTGCTGCACCTTCCCCCAGGCCTCCGTGTTTGGTTGGCGGTTACTTATTGCTTGTCGTCCTATCGTGGGACATAGGATTTTAACAGTTTGTTTTGTACTTCTTTTGTTTCCAGCATCTTTGCTCTTGGCCTGACCCCTCACCATCCCTTGTACTCTGACTGAACCCAACCTCCTGTATCTACAACTTTGCATTACCAGTGGAGCTACTGCTCCACTCGTCCTCCGTAGTCTCTGACTCACATAGGACGTTAAATCAATCAATCAATCAATCAATCAATCAATCAATCAAGCTGCCCAGTACAGCTGGAGGATTGGGAAGAGACTGAGGATTCCCCCAGGGACCAGGAGAGAGACTGCCAGTGCCTTCTATCAGCTGAAGCTTGGCCATGGATACAACAAGGCCTACTTGTTCAGGATTGGCAAGACTGAGCACCCCTTCTGCAGCTGTGGAGCCAAGCAGACTCCTGAGCACCTGCTCCTGAGCTGCAAGTGGCTGAACACAGACCGGGAAATCCTGTAGGACAGCCTTGGGAAGGTACAGCTGACTCTTCCTCTCCTCCTCCACACCAAACAAGGCATCAAGGCCACCTTGGACTTCATCAGCAGGACCAAGGTTGGCACAAGGAGGTGGCATCTTGGGCAGTCATCTGAAGACCAGGCATAGTGATGCCACAACACCCTCTGTTTCCTTTGTTTGTTTGTTTTGTACTTCTTTTGTTTCCAGCATCTTTGCTCTGGGCCTGAGCCCTTACCATCCCTTGTACCTCCATTGACCTTACTCTCATGTAACTAAATCTTTGCATTACCAGAGGAGCTACTGCTCCTCTTGTCTTCCATAGTCTTAGACTCAGATAGGACGTTAAACCAATCAATCAATCAATCGAGGCTCTGTCATTTTGCAATTGTACCTTTTACTAGCAACAAACCTTTTTCTTTGAAAGCGTCAGATAACAATTTGTCTCTTTAGGGCCTTCAACGCATTATCATTTGGCTGCGCGTCCCCAAACCCACACCCACCATCTCTCTCTTGCGCAATTGCCGGCCCTGCACACTTTCCAGACTTGAACCCACAGCATGCCGACGCACAATCAGCATCTCTCGTGCACGCTCCAGTAATGAACTGTGTTCCTTTCGTAATCGCACTTGGCGCCACCTGACCAGCAGCTGACGTCGATTGCACAGACGCAGCCTGCTCAGGCTGTGCGTTCGTAGGAGTTCCCCCAGTAATCGCTTTCGCAGCGTCATCGTTGGACTGAGCATTGCCGAATCCGCATCCTCCGTCTCTCTCTTGGGCGACTACGGGTCCTGCACATTTACCGCTGTTGAAGCCACAGCAGGCGGATGCGCAGTCGGCGTCGGATGTGCACGGGCCGGTGATGAACTGCGTGCCTCGGGCAGCGGCATGGAATGAGACTATGTTGAATGAGTGATGATCATGTTGTGGAAAGGGGAGACCTCACAGATAAGTACAGTGAAGATGTGGAGTATCGGAGCCATGTTGTCGAGCTCGCGCGCCGATGTTGAGACCAATGTAGAACTGGAGAGGTGCTTTGAACGTGGAGTCCGATACTTTGTGGTCGTTCGGGGTTGCCTGACATGGTCCTGAGGCCAACACTTATACCTTTGATCAGCTGTCAAGCGAGGCACTCAATGTCCGGAAATAGCGTTACATGCCCCAGAAGTGTCAAAATATAGCGCTTGCGACATGTTTGATCCTTCAGTTGGACCTCAACTGATCCATTGAAAGCTACTGCGGGAGAACGCGACTGACACAGCGATGAGCGTGAGGCGACAGGCAGAGCTTCGAGCCAGGCTGTAAGCGCACCAATCGCATGGCTACGGCCGCCAAAGCAAGCAAGGTGCTGTCTTCAGGACCATTCCTTCTCAGAACGTGGAAAGTTTCCTGAATGTTTGAGGAGACAAGGCGCTTAAAGTGCTCGTTTGACGTTGTGTTGCTGGCGGAATGGCTGTGTCCAGGCGATCCGAAACGGCAAAGGTCGCAAAACTACTTCAGCCAGCTAAAGTGTCAGAACTCAAGACCATCGTACTGTCACTTGGCAATGGATAAGATTTCGTTAGTGAGTTGTAAAGAATGATTTATATTAGGGCTGCGGGGGTATGCTCGAACATAAGAACAAACCGACTGCGGTGCCACGTCGCAACACTTCCAAACGTGCGATAACGTCCTTCTAAAGGTTGTCAGCGCAACCACCACTGCAAAGAGTCTCAGCGAGGCGCGCAAGACTTGCCTCACTGATCCGCTGCCTACTGTGGAGCTTCCGGCATTACCATCTTCTCCGCCATATACAGCTCCCCTACAGCTCCCTTCCCATCAACCCCTCCTTGATTACACCATTCGCCCAAATCCTGTGCCACTCCGTCTCTGCACTTCTTTCTCAGCCTGCATGAGCGAGCAGCACAGGCAGTAGAGGCTCTTGAAGATATCGCCGTTGCACGAACTTTCGAGGTTGTACTCCTCTCGCACTTGCTGGAGCTGCACGGCTTGTAGTATAGGATGCGCGCCGAAACAGTCGAAGAGGTAGAAGAGGACGCAAAATGTGTCGATAGGTTCCCAGGCCGACATATCGTGCAGGGGACTTGGGTGAACAGCAAGCCCACGGTCTAGCACTCCACTGCTTGCCGCCGGTCAGGACTTTAGTGACGCGGACGTAAGGATCGGTTAAATTGGTCTCTCTGGCTGAAGACAACAGCAGGGTCGATGAAGCCGGTCATTGCGGGCTGTGGGAGAAGGTATGCGGGCGAGTGATCCGGAATCGATACTGAGTGGGAGTAGCACTGGAGGAGGCGTAAGGAGTGGCGGGCTTGTTGTCAGTGTACCGTGCCGTTGTGGAAAAGGCGAACTCCATGTCGGGATTATGTAGATGAAGACGGGAGGTAAGGTCGCTGTTGACTGTGGCCGGCAGGGAAGCGGCGGCTTCAATTCAAAATTCCCAGGAACTGCATATGGAGAAGGGCAGCTGCCTCTCAAGTAAAGACGATGCTTCCTGGCTATACTTTGATAACGCTACGCTTACTATGATGCCTAGAAATGCCTTCAAGATGCGTGCGCCGAAAATTGCCACGCGCAAGATGCGAACCTAAAATACACTAGATCGCCATGCTCATATCGCGTTAATTACTGTCACTACTACTGCTACTACTACTCTCGTCATCACTGCTTTCGTCGTCGTCACCTCCAAAGCCTACAGGTGGCTTTCCCTTCGCTAATTTGCCTAGGCTTATTGTTCGCGGATCAAACGTCTTCTTTTGTGTTGTAGCTTGTGCAGCTTTGGTGTCCGCGAGCTGTTCTCTCAGACTCCGGAAGCCTGTATACCGCCGACGATCTGCTGTTTGCACAGAGACAGACTGGCTAGAGCGTGGAGCCTGTGAGGACTGTTGTGTAGGTGGCGGGACTGGCGTTCGTTGCGTAGGACCATTGATCTGCGAAGGCGTGGATTGGCTCGTCTCTGGAGCAATGGCAGTAGAGTTCGCGAGGCCGTTCAAAGGAGGTGAAGAAGGAGGTCCGGCATTTGCGTTCGAGTCGGTCATTGATTCGGTAGGGAGGTCAGACATCTCGATGTCTTCGTCTTGCGAACTGTCTGACGAGGACTCACTCTCGCTTTCGTCCCTATCATTTGCCTGTCGTGAAGCAGCTGGGGAAGGCGCAGCCGAGGCTTCATCGGATTCATTTTCGCTCTCTGATGCATCTGGTGTGGGAGAGTGGCTCAAGAAGCGTGCTGGCCGCCGGGAAACGGCCGGTGAAGAGCGTGTTGACACAGCTACACTAGCAGAGCGTGATCTGGAAGCATTGTCTTCGATAGCTGTACTGTAGATCTCCTGCTCCGCAAAACCTTTGTCCTCTGATGTGGGTGCTGCAGCAGTAGCTACTTGGGGCTCTGGCTCTTGAGCCTGCTCCAGATTATCACTTGTGTCATCCTTTTGGCCTAGGCTGCTGAAGCCCCATGACTCAGCACCCCAAGGTGCAGCTTGAGTCGAAATCTGTCCGGATGGTGGCTTGTCCTGAGTTTGAGGAGGGGCAGCCTGCGTATTCTCCAGGCTTACATTCTCGATCAGCTTCTCTGGTTGTTTAACTTCTTCATCAGCCTCGTCATCATCGTCGCCAATATTTTCGTGTGGTGTTGTCACATCGTCAATCTGAACAGATCTTGACAACTCTGCCGAAGTACTCACTCCTTCGACGGTTCCGTCCATACGTCGCTCTGAAGAATCACGCGGCTCTTCATCCCCAGAATAAGAATAATTTGTAGAAGATTCATTGGCACTCGAGATTACGATAGCACCATTGATGGGGTTTGCAGTCGGTGCTGGCTCAGTAGGATCGTCGACAGGACTCTTGTTTCGGTTTGCAGCTAAGCTTGGCGTGGCGTTCTTGAGATTTGCAGGCTTCTTCATCGGCGCAGAAGGACTGCTCTTGTTCGTCTCGGTATCGCCATTCGCGAGTGGTGAGCTTTGTAAACTACTGCTGCGACGAAGATGGCGCACATTGGGAGGAAGAGGTACCTCGCTTCGCCGTGGTGTTCCTCTTGCGGTGACATTTGACGCAATCTTCACCGAAGATAACGGCGCCGGTGACTCGCGTACTTTGACTGCTGGCTTCTTGAACACATCGGCTTTCCCAAATTTCGGTGTCTCTACTGCGCCTTTGGATGTCATCGAGCTGATAGGAGTCGATTTCTTGATACTTGAAGGTAATGGCACAGGGCTCTTCAGTGGTGTTCTTTGCGCTGTCGGGGGCTGGATAGCGAGTCTAGCATTGATGGTTTCGGTATGGTTATCGGCCGCCGCCGTCTTCTTTGTTACCGGTACCCTGACCTCGGGGGACGTTCTATTGCTTTGATCTTGACTTCCAACGCTGCCGCTTCGTGCTGGCGAACTTGCATTGCCTTGGCGCTTGGGGGTACTCTGAGATGCACTGAGCAGTTTCTCCAAGCGTTCCATGCGCGCCATTGTTTCTTCACCTAAAACTCTCTCGCCCTTCGATGAGGTAGAAAGCGTCGTTGTCTTGCCCTTCGCACTTGACTTGTTTGCTGATGCTGTCGATGCTGGTGTCGCAGCAGCAGTGGCATTTGCACCACGCTTCGTGCTAGCAGGCGTAGCTACCAACGAAACTCGAGACGGCTTTTTCAGGCTGCCAGGCTTTTTAGGCTTGGCGGCTGTCTTTTGCGCTGGTGTTCGAACAGCGTTCGGCCGATCTTCTGTGGCTTCATTGAGGAAAGAGGCTGTCAGATCGCCATCAGCGTCGTCGTCGTCACTCGTGGCGTGGCTCTCCTCTTGCGGACCTGAGCCAGCATCTTCCTGTGGTGTCGACTCGATCTCATCGGGCTTTGTCCGCTGGAATGCGCGCGCCTTCTTCGCAATGGCAACGTGGGTTCCATTCGGCTTTGTGTCTTTCTCCTTGGTGCTGCGTCCCAGCATCCGCGCCATATTCAGGAGATCGGCACCCGACCGAGGCGAGCGGCCATATGTTCTCGCAGGCTTGTCTGGTGTGGCTTTCTTGTGCATGAAGTCAGGAGAACTGGGGACCTGGTAAACGTCTCTGCGGCTTCTTGTTGTAGGTGCGGGCGCAGGCTCAGCCTCAACTGACGAAATTGGCGACTTGTGTATCGCAGCTTCCTGGGAGTCGAGTAGCGGCGACTTTGCATGTTCTGGGGCCGCTGTCTGCATATCTCCTACTGTCTCATCATCCACCTCTGGCACCTCGTCGTCCATCGGCTGCTGTGGCGCCTCTTGTGATAGTTCGCGCGGTGTGCTCGCGCGAGATTGCGAGGCTTGTTGATCTTGGGATTGCTCTTCGGTAGCGGTCTCGACAGGTCTCCTGGTGGATTCGTGCGGTGACGCAGCATCGATGCCGTTAAGAAGGGGCGACTGCTCCAGCTCTGGAGATTCTTGCTTGACGCCAGTCGAACTGAACGGCGCATGTCCAGTCTTGGTGCGACTGAGCTCGACCAGCGACATGCCTGATTTGGACCTTGCCGAGCGCTCCCCTGCCTCCACATCTTCTGCGACCTCCACCGCGGCTTGCTGTGACTCGGTCGAGGGTATTGGGCGGTTGGGCGAACGGTCGCGCGCTTCGTGAGTGCCCTGTCGCTGCTGCGATTCGATGCGTCGTCTCTTGTTCGCGCCCTCAACGATGTCGTCTCCCACACGCTTCTGCGTACCAGAGGGTCGCAGCATCGAGCCCGGCACGACAGACGTCTGGCGGTAGATGAAGTGGGGAACGACCTTGATCATGTGCATCTTGCGATCCGGCTCGCCCTCGAAAATAGCCCCAACCGTGTCGGTCATGTCGAGGTCGCAGTCGTAGGCGTCCTGCAGCTTCTTGATGCTGAAGGTCGCCGCTTGCTGGGGATTGAGGTAGTTCGTCTTGTATCGCTGCTCAATGTCGGCCCAGACCGTCTCGAAGGTGTCCTCCAGCCGCACTGGCATCGCGAACTTGCGCTCCTTGAACGCTTCTAGTGCCAATTCGCGATATTGGCCGTGTGCATCTTCCTCCGCCAGCGCCTCGACCACGACAGTCAATCGCATACGCGCTCCTGGTGCCGCCATTTGCGAGGGAAGGTGGAACCGGTGGTACGGTAGGAAGGCGCGCGAGCACTCTGCGCTGAAGCGCGACGGAGCTGTCTTGCGGAGCTCTGAGAGCAGAAAGTTCCAAAGTGGAGACGCGCTAACGTGCCGAACTCTAGTCGCGCCCGCACTCACCGTGAACGACAGCTCTGCAACCCCACACATGGAATGTCTGCGTACCTCCAAAACGTATCCATCCCTGCCATCGAGGGCTCTAATATCGCCTGCGTACCTTCGTTCTCCTGCTCGAGACTTACCGGAGCGCATGCCCGTACACAAGTATTCATACTGTCGAGCTCGATGACGACATCGATGGACTGCACGTGAACACGCGTTCAAAACTGAACCACATTGCTACACCGAGTGACCATTGAGTAAGATGTTTTGTGCCCCATAGGAACAAACCACTCTTTAGGTTTCCCAAAGGACCAATCCCGCCCTCTTAGCGGAGAAAAGGCCTTGCCGCCTATTCCCAGCACAGGTCCTTCACCTCCTTTCCCTTCCATCGATGGTTCAGACGATGTTGCAATTAAGGAATTGGACCGAATTTATCACGCTTTATAGCAAGGTGCTAGTCTCGCAGTGATGTCTCTTGTTACCTTCTTTATGTCTCCAATAAGCCCTCTCTCACATCCATTCTCTTGTCCCCTCTCTTCAGGCTGTCGTTGCAGAAAGATGGGCTGCTCTCCTAATGCCTCTGCCGGCTATTTAGGATGGTTAGGGAGTATGCAAACGCGTAACTATTAGCTTCGCTCGCTTGCCACTTTATGCTCACGGCACCACCTCCCCGCAAATGCTTGCTCATCCCTGCCATAACCGTCCACACTAGGAGCTTTGTCACTTTACTCTCACCGCATTCTTTCAGCTTCACCGCACCGACATCAGCTTGATTCTCATACCACCGATGGTGCTTGCTGCGCTCTCACATCTGAAGATCCATGACGCGCGCACCCACATTCAAACAGATCGTAGGTACAAGATGGCCGGCGGGTCGACGAAGCGACGTATAGTTCATTGAAACTCAATCAAAAATGGGCCATTATCAAGCACGATAGGCTTCTCGATCTCCAAGCCGCTGGGAAGCTACAAAGAAAACGTGTCGAGCGTTCGCCAGTGCCTCTGTACACTCACAGCGCAACCCCCCTCCCTCTTGACCCACCGCTCAGTAGAGCGAAGTTGGTCTTTCGTGGCCAGTTCGACCCGTACTTCCCGAATCTCGCCAGATCCTCCACCCTCCAAGCGTCGTATCATTTCTGCAACGCCCGCCCCTGTCGTCGCTCGCAAGCATGTCATGCTGACCACAGAGACAAGTACTCGGTAGGATGCGCAAGAAGGCCGCAGTAGTGGTCTCGGATCTACTCCAGCTTCCAACAGGACTGTCATCAAGCGCGAACACATCACAGATGGAGATCAGGCAGAAGCAGCCTTGCCCTCGCCAATGTAGACGCAGGACAGCAATCTAAGCGCAACGACTTCTTCTCTTCGACTTCTATTCCCTAAAGAGCGGACGAGTGTTCCCAGTATCAATACCGCCGAGCATGGTGGAATCTCAGCCTCCACCTGACAGTAAATTCGCTGGTGATGCACACCTCAAGAGACATACTAATATCTTTTAGGGTACTGTTGCAAAGAGCATCACTCCAATTGTGGATCTCAAGGCGCGAGAGATTGCTGTGCAACATATCACTGGCCGCCTAAACCGCCGAGTTATGGCTCAGGTGGGTTCACTATTTGCTTTTGTGGTCGTTCTACTGACTCGTCTTAGTCTATCGGCGTCCAGTTGCTGATGGTAAGACTCGATTCATCTCCAAATCGGCACTTAAAATGCAGATGTTGGGCCGAGTGACAGCAGTCCCATTGCAGCATGATCCGGTCAAAGTCTGGAAAGGTATGGAAGGCAAGCTGGTACAATGAGTCGTAGCCAATCTGTCTTATTTCTCCGAGCTGTTGGCAGACCATTCCTCTTTGTGAACATGACGCCGGTAAGTCGTACACCTCCCTGCCCATGTAGAACGCGTGCTGAATCTCCGCACAGGATGTGCATCCTGTTCTTGACGTGTTATGTGACCCAAGCCTATCAATGTCAAAGGCAAATGTTTGATTGCGCGCGATGTCTTGGTTTCGGCGGCACACAACACTTCTGAAGGTCAGCGGGTGTGCTCTTTGCTGACTGCGTACGCCGCTGCAATGCTCGAGAAGTGGATCATGGACAGTGGATACGTCGATCTTGTTCTCAACTTCCTTGCCCTCATGAGCGAAGCTGTGGCCATGGAGCAAGACTTTCTTCAGCTGCTCAGAACAGGACTGGTGCAATATCCGGCAACACAGGGTCTAGAAGATGTTAATGCGGAGGAGCGCTGTTCTTGAATTCCCAGACTGGTGTCGTTGGCAGGTTCCGGTGTACCTGACTTATACTTGCCAGGTCCAACTTGCAAGGAGCCTGCAACGCTTCATTACGCAGTGACCCGCCCTGCACCGTGGAGAAAATCGATCAAGCTCGTGGCCGGGTGTTCGGCGTCTCGATTGGAGTCATTAGAAACCCTCACACAATCGTCTGAATCTGCTCAGGTGGACATCTAGGTGGCAGGAAAGGAGATTTGTGAGTAAACTTGCCAATATAACCCTCCTATCTACCCCCTCAAACCTTATTGATAACCTTTCGATTGGCCAGCAATAATGAAGTAATACTCAACCAACACTTGCTCATCCCACAATGATGTTTTGCTGGCAACACCTTCACCAATACACCATGGCCCCAGCTCCAAGCAGCTTGGCAAGAGGAGAGCTCCCGAGTACTCAGTCATCCCAGACCTCATCGTTGTCTCCAACCTCTCACTTCAGAGCCTTCCGATCGTTGCCCCAAACTGGCTCTCAAGCCCCATCCGCTATTTGTCTTGACTCCAAGGAGACCTCCCCGCCATTGCCTTGGTTGTCACCTTCACTGATACCTCAAGAAGTACCCACCCACAACTGCCCAATGCCTGCCAATAAAGCCTATGTAGAAGGGGTGACATTTGACATTGATTTAGCTACATATATGTCAAGGGTACTCCCCTCAAGCCATCCCAATTAGGTTATAGTGTCAGGTACAATGGGTCTCTATTGGGTGGTCAAGTGCTCTCAAATATCTAGGCTAATGGACTACATCTACACTACACCAAGCTTGACAACATCATTATTGAACTGTGTTTGTGCAAGCTTTGTCACCAGGTATGTTCAAGGTCTTACGCACAGCTTGTTGCCAATGTGTCATCCTGACATGGCTTGCAGCCAACAACAACCCTTCCAGTCCTTTTAATGAGGCTCCCATCACCCTGCCATTTGTCAGCTTGCATCATTGATTGCATCATCATCATGTACCTGTTACGATCCATGAACAACTCACAAAACAACACTGAACAAACAGGACTACACAACAAGACAAGAGCAGCCAAGGAACTGCAGTATTGATTGACCGAGCTGCGAAGCCGCGTCAGTGATACCCAGTATAATCAACACTTGCAATATCTGTTATACAAACTGAGATTGAACAAAAGGGACTGCAGTGGATACAACGTGGATCTCGTACACAAACGATCGTCACAGACCCATATACCAACCCACTTGCAGAGGACCCACATCGACAATGATCAATAGGACACCAAGGACCAAGTATCAAGGTCACGACAACAACGCTCGATTGGACCGAGTATCAAGTCACTGATGATACTTGATATGAGCAGTACAATCAATCCTCCTGTCAAGTATATAAGCAAGTAGACATGCTGCCCTTATGGCATTGTGTTCAACCTCGTCAATCAACTTTGTTATTGGAATCTCACCTGCTCTTGAGCCAGACAGTATACTCTGTACTACTCATTGCAACCAGTCGCCATGGTCTTTGACTAGATGACTACCCCCTGATTATCACGGAGGTTTATCACAGTCAAACCTCTGCCACTCCGAGCTCGCTCAGTGATACCCCCTGATTATCACGGCGGTTTATCACGGTCAAAACTCTGCCGCTCCGAGCTCGCTCAGTGGTAACCAACCCCCAACGGCTTTCTGTACCTCTGCTCATCCCGAGAACCAATCGAATAGTGTCTACAAGCTTTGCTTAAGGCACAAATTGCAACAGATCGTAACATCAACCTCACTCTACACATGTATGCAGCAGTTAATTGGTGGAGAAAGAGCAACCTGAACTTCTACAAAGATGATTCAGAGATGCTTCCCATCCCAAAACCACCTAGAAAACCAAGGAAATCAAAGTATCAAACACAGGAAGAGCATGAGGCAGAGGTGAAGGAGTGGGAAGCCAAGCTGCTGCCACCAATAGAGGGAGAGTCAGGGGGTCATGTAACGGGGTTACAGTGCTGTAGTGAAGTAGGCTGTCACGTGTTGGGGCAATGGCGCTAACCCATCGGGATGCTAGCGTGGTATGGGCGAGAGCGCATAGATAATTGGGCACACAATGGCCAGGAAACAGTAGCAATTAATCTTACAAGACCACCCCCCATTGCTACTGAGCTCGCTGTCACAGATACCCTTACAGGTCACCATATGACACAGGGCTACTACACCAAGTACCTGCTACCATACTACATCTGTAACACCTACAACCGTATCCGCCCCGATACTAATGTGGTTCCTGCAGGTCTCAGCACACTGCTCCTTGTCTGTTGCAAACTACCTCCTTGTCACCTGGACAAGGGTACTTCCGATTCCCTTCCAAATGGGATACTTAATGACTCTGATACTGTAGTTTAGATAGAGTAGTTTTTCTGTATCCTTTCGTACAAGACCTATAGGTGTAGGGAATTCAATCCTAGTGTTCTCAACGTCCCAGCACTCCCATATGCCTTGTAGTGGACTCACACTTACTTCAGACATCTTCCCTACTGGCCTGCGTTGTTACAACATCCAGCTCATCCAAGAATGCCAAGAACTGGCTTGGGGGGGTGGTGAGAAAGAAAGGATACTTCAGGAGGATGGAGACCCATCACATGGGATGAAAACTAAAAACAATGTGGCACAGAACCTGTGTGATGCCTGCTGGATCTCCTCACCCCTTCACCCTGCACAGTCTCCTGATCTTAACCCAATTGGAGCATGCTGGGCTGTTCTCAAACAGAGGGTGAAGAAGTGTTTGAGATGGCCCAACAAAGGCCAACCAGCTTGGGATGGAACCAAAAGAATGCTCAAGAAGATATTCATTCAAGAGTGGAATAGGATCACTATTGAAGAGGTCAGTAGATGTGCACAGCTTCAGGAAAACAATGGAGAAAAAATCTGCTCTGCCTTGTGGTGAGCTTACAACACCAAGAAACTATTGTGCACTGTTCTATATAGCTTCATCAATAGTTTTACTCAATTCTGACCCATGCTTATGCCTTGCATTTTGTTGTTCACTGTTTTGTATGTAGTTACTATGGGGGAGAAGGAATTCAGGGGTGTGGGTTATGTCATCTAATCGGTGCCCAACAAATTATTGCACCACTTATTGGCAAATCTTTTAATCTTACATCATGACTTCTCCAAACCCACAAACCCAGTCTCAAATTCACAGTTGTCATATCTTTACATGCCGTGTGTCATCTCCCCGTCGATCCAGCCCTGCACAAGCTTGCCCAAATGCCGTACCGCGTACCAACATCAATATCACATCCGTAGCATGCATATCCACTAACACCACGCCCCACACCTTGCATCTCCGTGTTCAATTTATCCCTGACTTGATCGCTGACTTGCATGAACGGCAAGGAGAAGCATGCATACTTACCCAATGTGACTGTTGCGGTATGAATCGGTCCGTATGAAGGCTTGATTGCTTCCATTGAGACTATTCAGGACTAGTATGTTCCAGGACCAGTCCCAATGAGAGGTACTCTATTTGTTGGGCGGCGCAAATCAGCGCCCCGCCTCAACGCCTTGTGCAGCGACGTGTGAAACCATCAATCAAGAATCTCCAAGATCCGAATCTATTGTCAAGCCATGATCTCGTATCGCAGATTTTTGGATCGCGGGTTGTGGGGCTCGAAAACAAAATCCAGATCTCCGGCGTTCCCGTTAGGGTATCACGATTCAGCGCGCGCTACGACATCCACTGCGATTACGAAATGGACAGCCGGCGAGCAGTGCCGGGGGCCTGTGAGCATGCTGCACAATGGTATTTGAGATGTTTTTCATGCCTGACAGGTCCATATTGAGATAATGTTCGGTCGGCCGTAGACCAGGCCGGTCCGAGAGTTGAGCTTGAGTTCTGGGATTCTGGGGTTCCCGTGGAGCTGGTTGTCGCACACGCAGGGATCCATGATGTACCACGATGCAAAGAGGAAATCCAAAACGTGCGATGAGGTCCGATGAGACCGCATCTGATTACTGGTTACTAGATAGACAGTGGTAGCCGGATGGTGCATCCCATCCAGTCAAATCGCTGATTGACCCTTTCATTCTGGTCACCTTCGCTGTTTGTCGATTAAGAGTCAGTTGCACAGTCCCTTGCATGCTTGTCAGAGATCGACGATCCCCCTTCACGCCCTCAGAGAAGTTCTTGGGGTCAAAGATGTATCGTGTTCCGCATTAGCCGTGAGTCACGGTACGATCCAACAGGACAGACACCGATCGCACCAACATCCCCAACTTTGGAAAGCATTCCGCTCCCTGCAACAATTAATCTACCGCAAGTTCGTCATTGACACCTACTTGCTGGCCAACGCGAATGCAAAGAACAAACTCCTTACCTCACCATTTATGCAGGTGCAAAAAATTACACAACGTCCGGCAATGACCCCCAACCAATGAACATGTCTGCCGGGACTACTTTTGTTATTTGCTTTTTGCCGTCAGCCAACCGCGTAGCTTCCAAAATGCGCTTATCGTGATATCGTGAGGGATGGAGCTCTGTCGTTGAACATTGCTGACGACTTATTTTATCTGAAATATTGACATGGTTGCCTTTGGAGCTTGACAAGGTCCTATTTGAGGTCGGAAACTCTTCCACCCCAAACACAATGCGAATGCACCCACCGTACTCCTTTACAGAGTCAACAAACGTGTTGTCGACGGCCGAACGACACGCCGACAAGGACGAGTACGGTGCTGAATGGCTGTGCCTGAATGTCGAATTGGTGCTGTTGCACTGCGTGCGCCTGTCATGCAGAGGTTGTATTGCCATCGCGATCAAGACCCTTTGAGCCAGGGTCCTCACGTGCTTTGTCTTTCACACGCTGATGTGCCGCGGTAACGACACTACCCTGTGTTGATCTCCATCCCGATCCCGCACGTCAAGCGTGAACTGACACGTCTCCATTTCGCTGACCCACCTTCTTACGTCCGCGGATGATTGCGTTCTTTCCCAATGGGGACCTGCGTGCAGGAGTGCCGTACCAACATCCGAAACATCCAGACCATACCTTACATGCTCGAGTCTCAAGGCAAGCCGTGACCTTGAAGCCTCGCAGTATATGTTTCGATGACATGACACAAGACAAACCGCTGTCTCAAGCTTTCTTCCGTGCCGCAGCACCCATGACCTTGTAATAACTCTTTTAATGCTATTATTTGTGTAGCCGCGATGGTCCAGCGGAGTTGTCGGCGTTAGGCACGGATGCTGCCTTCCGCCGAAGAAGTCGAGTCAGCTGCCCGTGGCAAACAAGGACAAGATGAGCTGAGCAGGGGAAGGCGAGAACTATGTACATGTACCGCAACACCCGATCGGTGAATTGCAAAACGTTAAACGTTGGCCGAATGGAATTATCCTGTGTTCAGCCGTTAGCAGCAGCATGTCACTGAATTTCGGCGAATGTCCCTGCCTGCGTGTCTTCGCATCCCGTCGCCTCGTGTTGCTTTTTGCTTCTCGCTAAGATGTCGTTGGACAGGGTTTGCGTGACGGTACCGCACAGGGTTGATTCATGCGCAACTCTTGTGTCCCTCATCCTCCTGATTCATACCACCGACGTCGCACCGGGCCTCGCTAGCCCCACTAATGGCGCCTTACCTAGCATGGCAAGTGGTGCCCTTTCCTTGTCAAGTTAAACTTGTGATAGCCGCCTGTCACACTTCCACCTGCGCCCGCCATTCGCTTGCAGACGCACAACTACTTTGCGTGGCAGTGGCAAAGTCAGATCAGCAGACAATCGTTCGTTTCCAAGTTTGTTGCAGAAACACTTGCGTATTGTATGATGGCCTGATATCCACGAGGTTGTCTGTGCGCAATCCCCACGAACGCATTGCTGATGCACCTACCTCGCCAAGATGGGGAAGCGGTTGAACAGCCATACGTGCAGTTTCTGCTGTAAGCCAGGGGTCTGACGTTTCTTTTCCAGACTGGGAAAGGAGTCAAGCGTTGGGCATCGGAAGTCTGATGTTTCGCATGCTCATGTACTTCGATGATATCGATGTTGGGATATTGGGTTTCTTCAAGATCCCAGACCCTGAAACGGATATTCGTACGGGCCGCTTCCGCGACGAGGCTGACGTGGCTTCTAGAGCCAGATATCGGTGACATCTCTTCGTCATTGATGTTTCGCTTTTGTGATCGAGGAGCGGTTTGGGTTGTCGAAGATGTTGCTGATATCATCGAGGCATTTCAACTGTGATGAACTCCATTTCACGCGTGGTTCGTTAGTAGCGCTAGCCTTTCGCAGCTCAGGAAGTCTCAACGTCACGTTTCGGACCGAATTCGTACTTATGGGTACTCGACGGCCGCTACCATCTCACCAACCAAGATCCAGGTCAACACGCAAACCGTTAAACCACCGATACAGTTCGAAGCTTGTCGTTCATCGAACACCCGATTTACCTGAAGCGGGTCTTCTTCCGCGATCGACATCTATGAATATCCATCAGGCTGGGGCATCCCAATAATGGTGTTGATATCAAATAACCGAATTGCTGGAAACGAAATGGACGAGCTGTTGACTCTTGGTGAGATGCCGCCGTCCCGCATGGTATGAACGATGGATATGTAAGAAGTAAGTGAGGCAATCATCTGATGATGAGTTTCAAATGGTTGAGGCTGATGGTGAGATCATTGCTGTGTGGGGAGGCAACGCCGTTATTGTTGACAGCTTGACACAGCAGGTGCATCACTGCGTCGAAGTCACGGATGTTCTGGATGGGCATGAGTCCGCCGACCCTCATGCATCGGCCTGCATGCGACAGGCATGCCCAATACCCCTACATGTGCTCGTTCAGGAGATTGTCAGCTCTCCATGCACTCTACCACGACACCATTCTGCCCTAGGATCAATTCCCCATTTTCCCACCTTCTTCAAATCTCCACCCAGTCGGAAAAGGAGCGTGAGCGACATCTTCTGATTCGTTGTGGATACATCTCCAAGAGCTCTTGTTTCGGGTAGCCCCGTTCGACAACCGCCATCGCTAAGCCTGTCTGAGCCAAAAGGATGTAAGGGCGGCTTAGCTGCATGCAAGTGATCTTATGGTGCGTTTAGACTGCCTCCGGGCGGTCTGACTGGTCAACCAGAGTGATTCTCTCGCCGTATGAGCAGAGCTGATGCAGCTTCAGTTTGTGGATATGTTCCTTGATCGGTCGTCGACGAACTGCAGCTGAGTAGCTAGTCAGGCTGGTTCCGGTGAACAGCACGCGAAGACTGTCTGTGCTGCTGCTCAGGGGATTGATAGCTGAACTCTGTGCAATTAGCGTCGACCCGCTTGGCAGATTGTAGAGTTTCGTTTACGGGCCGCTTTGACGCTGGCGCTGGCGCACGAGCACCCTTCCGCAACCAAGCTCGGTCCACAATTCGGTCCCAAAGTCATAGACGCGTGGACAAGGTTCCTCGCAGCTTCATAAAGAACAGAGATGTATCAAGGCTGATGTGAATACGTTTGTTAGGGGTAAGAATGGTTTGAGATTCGGGTATAGGTGCGATAAAGTACATTGTATGTCGTTCCAGTAGTGTACTGGAGACAAATGGAGTGTAGAAAGTCCAAGCCGGACGACGAGTTTGTGTAGATGCGTACATAGTCTAGTACATGAGAGTCGTGGAATACGAATACGTATATTTCCAGAAGTAAGAGGTGTTAACGACACAGGAATGGAAGAGAGATTGAAAGCTCTTGCCACCGCAATGGTATCCAGGATAGCACTGCGAAGGCGTGCAAGCCGATGTGTCGACGCCATTTTGTGACTCTGTCCCATGCTCCGATCTTCTTCCAAGCAATGCGAGAAGGTGCATGGCCAAGGACGATAATTGGAGACGAAAATCAAAGGGGGTATAACGGATGTCCTTCTTTTGCCAACACCAACACCAAGTCAATATGCAAATGCAAAGTCGCATGTCAAAAGTAGAAAAAAAAGTGCTCAGGCGTTGTTGCTTATGGTGAGCCGGACTTGCGGACCGGTGGTGCCGGGCTTGTGCTGGTCACTCTTCGCTGCTTCGATGCAGAATGCGGCTCATGTGGACCTTCGGATTTGCGCTTGTTGGCGGTGTTGCCGTTCGTTGATCCTTCAGCTTGCGGAGCTGCATCTGATCGTCTGGATGCATCATCTACAGATTCGGTGGAATAAGGGCTCATTGGTCGGTAGCAGTGATTGTGGCGCCGTTTCCAATCGTCATACGCAGCATCCGCCTTCTTTCTCTCGTTTCGCAGCCTGTCGATCATGTTGCTCGCGAGCCTCATGTATTCGGCATTGTTCTCCGCTGGAGGGATATGCTCGGAATCCATATCAGGAATCGGTCGTCTCCAAGCCTCGTTGCATCCTGGACAGCGCTCCACAGAAGGCTCACCATCTCCTCGGTCCCTGGTGTCCCTGGTATCCCTGGTATCCCTGGTGGTGCGAGGTTGAGGCTCGGTATGGCGAGTGTTTCCATTGGTAGTCGGTGCCGGCGGCTCTTCAAAAATGGAAATGGGGGCAGGGGAACTCTTTGATCGCTCTGGCTCAGCGATAACTTCTGATGCGGTAGGAGGTGTAGGTGGCTCATTGCGAGGTTTTTGTGAGGGGGGCATGTTTTCAGAGGTGTAATTCACAGCAAACCTTACGTTGTAGCGTTGTTGCCGAGTGCCAAAATTGTTCTGCTGAGTGAAGAATTGTTCTGGAAGTGAGGAAGGTCCGCTGATGTTGAGTCTTGAAACTGCGCTGTTCCTTATGTCAACAGGAATGGTGCGCTCTGTGCTGTGCTCATGTGACCTCGGTGACGCTGCCGAGTAGGGACCGCCCGAAGACACGGATTTGGAGTGCTGACGAGCTGGAGGGTGTGCTCCTGTCTGGTTTGGAAGAGTCTCGCCCTGGTGTGGGGCAGGAGCTGGGGCATAGGCTGGAGTAGATGAGGCAAGTTGATGGGAATTGAGCCTCGGACTGGGCTGACGTTGGCCGTCCTTAGGGCTTTGATGAGAATAAGAATTGTTAGGTTTGGACAATTGGGCGTCGTTGCCCGTCTCGAAGCGGTGCTGGTCAATGGCTGAGTCTTGGCGCGTTTGCACCGTCGAATTAGAGACGGTGTGCACTCCAGACGACAACGCCGAATGCTGAAGCGCTGGATCTGCTTTTGGCACCTGCTGACGGCGGAACTCAGGCTCCCGATAGATTCTGGCTGCAGTTGATGTTGATGTTGATGTTGGGCGCTGTTCTGTGGGGCTGGCAGGCAGGGTCAGTACACAAGTTCAACACCAATGAAGTGCACGCTACTCACCTGACTGGAGGGCTCGTTTGGCGGTTCACGGCATTCCAGTACGATGAGGGCGTGGCATTGGCAGTAGTGGGTGCAAGAGAGGCAGCAGGCGGGGTGGATCGAGCGTGGAAGTACTCCTGGCGGTGGTGGTACTCAGGAACGTTGCTGTTTGCAGAGGGCCGTGACGAGAGCAGCTCAGCGACGCTGGGGAGCGTTCGCACGGGAGCAGGTGGCTCAGTGTGCTGCGGCGATCCGTAGGCGCGGGGATCGCGAGGCCAGTCACCTGCCATTGCGGGCATGAGTCCTTTGGAAGTCGATAACAGCTGCAGCGAGCGCAGCGTTGATATGGGGGCAGCGTGGAGGACGACGGTCGCACAAGAGGAGGAGGTACAGTCTTACACGGGCAGGCGCGAAGGGTCCTGAGGTCCTAACATTCCGTCGCTCTGGAGTCTCCGCTCTGCGGCGTGGACGGTGGATGAACTCCCTGCTGGCTTGCTCTTAGTAGGCTCTAACAGGCCCTCTGGCGCTGCGCGGGCGCCCTTGTTTGTGGGGCATGCCGTGTGCTGGATCCACAGCTGCGAGGTGATTCCACCAAGATGCAAGGCATACTTTAGGCTGGGTTAGCCTGGCTTCAGCGGCGACGGAACAGTCAAAGCGCATCCGCGCTGATGAAAGTGGTATGGATTGGGGTGGACGGCGGCAAGGGTGATCAGCTGAGCTAAACCGCTCTCACTAGCAGCGGCACACGGATAAACATACCGAACCTTCCCTTCACAGACACGAAGGCTCTCACAGCCTATTCCCGCCGGACACTCCAATGCGTCGAGTGGCCCTGCGTGCAGTCGCCGCGCAGCCTGTGGGAGCGGCAAGTCCGTCTGGCGGCTCGTCCGCGGTTCCAGGAGGGCAGCACTGATGCCAGCGCAGCTCATCACTGCTCTTCAACGACGTTCATGTGCCTCCTCATCCAGCGCGATCGTAATGTGTTCATTGAACTGGATCTATGGCTCATACGTGCAATACGTGCAGGCCTGCCGTCTGAGCTCGTCAGCCGTGCTGCCCGCTTGTTCTGCACCTCGCATCATCCATCTGTTGCGCGTCAAGGGGTGAACAACGTCCTGCTGCACCTCGACAGCAACAGGCACACTGCTCCCTCACCCCCGGCCACCTGAAACTCGACCCTCATCCGCTTCCCAAACTGACCCTGCGAACTTCCACTCCACCCGGCAGTAGCCGACTCACAAATTGCTGAAGAAGCAGCCTCCACCTGAGCGTCGGAACCATCACAGCGATATCAAAACAATGAATCCTCGAACGCTGCTCATATCGCAGTTTCTCAGCGCGAACTTGTTATGGGCATCCCCTGTCTGCATCGAGATCAAGTTCCGCTGGTATTGCTGAGTTGATCCTTCCCGTCGCCCAACGAGGCTAGTCCGCCTACCCACTTGGTAACGTTCAACACACGAGTCTGACAGCCAGTAGGCCGCCCTGCAATTGCGCTGCCTCATTCTTCACCGATGACAGGCAGAGGTCAGCAAGTAAACTCCTGGGTTGGCTGTGTCCTGCGCTCCGTCTCGTGTACCGACATGGCCAGCGTTGCGTTTCGGCTTACCGAGCGTCCTCTGATTGGCTCACACTCGGCTGTCCTCCAATCACCGCGCAGTGGCGGGCCTAACCAACAGCTTCCTTAAGAGCAACCTCGCGTCCACGCTGCAAGACATGGAGTGGTGTGCAGTCTCTTCCGGACTGCAGCCAGAGCGTTGCAGTTCTCGTGTCGACCATCAAGAATGCCCCTTTGAGCGCGACCCAAGGACGAAACATCAGGTCAGGGACAGTGCCTCACTTGAACTGCTTGCCTCTTATGGTCAGTTGCATGGTGGCATGCTGCAACATTGACAACCCGTCGCCCCATGAATGGAGATCGCTCCGCCAATATCATGCGAAAATGATGAGCATAAACGATGCGCTATGCCCGTCTATCCTGGTGATCCGAACATTTTCACCTTAATGAATACCTTCGGGGTGGCCTAAGTCATGGTGACATGGCCCGTTACAGTGTTGGCTCTCAAAGGACATGCGAGTCTTCCACGACCCCCGATCCAGCAGTGACTTTTTGGATGTCTCCATGAGCTGCATATTCATTGTCTTCATGTCTCCACTTACCGAGAGGACGAGATCGCGGCATTCCGTCGAGTCCACCTTTTCCGGCCCGAATTAGCAGATCCGTCTTTTTCTCGGGTTGCTTTTCGCAAAGTTCCACAAGAGTTCCCTATTGTAACACAAGAGCTTTGTAAAGCGGAACGACGAAGGCCTGCAATGTACCTGTCACGATCGTATAGCTCCATGTCAGCAATCATGCTTTGGCAGGCTATAACTTACCCTGTACAGGACATGGTCTTACATGTACTTCAACTTGTGCTGCTCTCTGTTCCCCCGGTGGAAGAATTCCTGGCTGTGCACCTTATCATAAGCGCGTGTTTCAGGCCGCCTAACGGGTCGCCTCCTTGTGTTACCAGGCTGATCACGTCACAACAGGGCAAGTCCAACTGGACGGTTTGCCATGTGAATCTCAGGCTAAGCCTTACCTAGGTAACGAGCCTTTCTTGTCCCTCCTGTCGGGAGTGCTTCCCCGACTACCATGCATGATATAGCTCGCGCTAGTCAAAAGCCATGGTTCAACGTTCAACGTCACATCGCCAATCATCAAGCAATTACGGTTGTACAAATAACATGCTCGTAACAATAACTTGCCTCCAAGACGCTATAGCATCGCTTAGGCACGCATGCGCAACATCAGTTCGGGGGTCCCCAACCCTCTGGGGCGAAGCCACGGCATTGGTCGGCACTCCAGATAGGTCAACATCATGCCACGCCAGCCCGCTGACCTTACAACAGTTTTCCGCAGTTCCTGGCCTTACACAACATCAACACTATGTGCGTACATATGCACGGCACACCGAGAAGCAGCCTGTAGTCATGGCACTCAAGTAAATGCACCTCCAAGGCTTACAGCATGCCATATCTTATATAGTACGCGCCCGTCGCCGACACTCTCGCCTACAGTGTTCCAACCTCAGTTTCTTGTCATGAGACAGCGGCTCCACAATCGCATATTGGTTCCAGGCTGGGCTTTCGCGCGGCTACGCTTACTTCGCTGGCTAACTCGACCTGCCTTTTAGTCGCGGTAGATCCCGTTTCTGAACAGCGCACACTGTAGTACTGTTGTACCATCTCCTTCTTTATTCTTGTCACTTTCTATCGGCTTCGCATTTCGACTTCTTGATTTCTATGGCTTCGCATCCGGCGTGGGATGAGCCGCTGACGAATTCAATGCGTGGTTCTCATCTCCTACATACAGGTCATACAATGACTCAACGTTGAACATTGTGTTTCAAGAGTAGCAGTCAACAAACAGTCTAGGCCTCGTCTTGTAAGGGTTGGCGCTGCGGCTCACCTTCCTTAAGAGTGCGTCCTACTATTTGTACTGATTACAGCCGGTGAATACATTACTACTGACGATATCAGCTCGTTATACAACCGAAATTCTAAGAAAAGCATGCCAAGAAAAGTCGCTATATCGTCCGCACTCGCTAGTGATCAGGTTCCTCGCTAGATATCCAAGGTCGCAAAAGGCACGAGGGTTCCATGAACCTGTCGTCAAAGTGGAAACCGCAATTGTTTTGACACCACGGCAATCCCGGTTGTGTCGTCAATCAAAGCAACAGCGCAGCAAGGCAACAATGTGAGTGGTGGATTGGTGCTGGTGCCCACCCTTCGAGCTGCTTTCCTTCTACGCCCAGGTAGCTGCATATCATCGTCAAATATGCATGGCGAGATCTTTGATGCATCCTGATAGTTACTTTTGAGTAAAGGCAGCTCGCACGCTTGTTTACACCATCAGGTTAGTGGAAGAGGTAACTAAACCGGACTTCTTCCAATTCTCCACCGCTGGTACTAGTAGGTTTGTACATTGCTGTACTACAAAGAAGCTTGTTTTTTTGACCAAACACTTTTGACCCGTGCGCTTGAATTCCCCATCAACACATGCAACACCCGCACTTCTCATAGTATTTCAGCCGCCACACACAATAAAAATGCCTATCTCTTGTTGCAAATCTTTCAAATAGGAGCAGAACAAGGTTGTCAAGCAGCCACAAACCGGTCGGACAGAACTAATAGCTGTTGTGCGCATTTGCAGTTGATGCGCTCACAGGCATGTGGGGAGACTATGGCTCCCAACGTGAACTTGCCAACACCATGGGTCGTGGCAAAGCCACACTATCAGAACTGCTCAAGCATGTGGAGAAGAAGGGAGAGGAGCTAGGTGCCTTTTTGTGGGAAGAAATACTATATGAGAATGACCAAGGATGTTGGCAGAGTTCATTGTTGACTCAGGAGCGGAAGGATAGCATCATTGCAATTGTCACCTCATTGGGCAATACCCGGAAAAAAGAGAGCTGGCAGGCTGTTGTGCATGGTAGTTTTGGCCAGATTGTACTTGCAATGAGCGTTACAATATTTGAAAACTTCATGTACAAGGCTGGTTATGCCCAGAGAAGGCCAGGATGGAAGCCAAAGTTGACCCCTGAGCAGGAGGAGGAGCACTATCAATGGGCACTACATGTAAGAGGTTAGATGTCTATTGTCCTCAGTGGATACACTTTGGTTCATCAGAACATCATAAAATCCCATGGAACCTCATGGAACCTCACGGAACCTCATGGGGCCTCATAGAACCTCATGGAACCTCATGGAACCTCATGGAACCTCATGAAACATCATGGAATCCCATGGAACCTCATGGAACATCATGGCTTTGTGGTATCCCCACACTTGGTCTCTTCCACACCCTTATCTCCAACAAGCCTGAACCATCCTTCCACCAATCCTTCCATCTCAGAGAGCAGTTGGTATCCCCAGCTGGCCCCCTCTCACAGCAAGGCTCAGAGGCACTAGTTGGGTTAGTTCTCAGGGATAAGTGTAGCGTGAAGGAACAAGAGGTTGATCACTTAAGCAGAGCTTGGAGTGATTGGGGTTAAGCAAAGCTCATAGGCACTAGTTGGGTTGGTTCTCAGGGATAAGTGTAGCGTGAAGGAACAAGGGGTTGATCACTAAAGCAAAGCTTAGAGTGATCAGGGGTAGACATCTAGTCAAAGACTGTGGCGTCTGGGTGCAATGAGTAGTACAGAGTAGACTGTCTGGCTCAAGAGCGGTTGAGATTCCAATAACAAAGTTGATTGATGAGGTTGAACACTGTTGAAGTCGTGTCTTAAGCAAAGCTCGTAGACACTATTCGATTGGTTCTCGGGATGAGCAGAGGTACAGAAAGCCGTCAGGGGTTGGTTATCACTGAGCGAGCTCGGAGCGGCAGAGGTTTGACCGTGATAAATTGCCGTGATAATCAGGGGGTAGTCGTCTAGTCAAAGACCATGGCGACTGGTTGCAATGAGTAGTACAGAGTATACTGTCTGGCTTGAGAGCAGGTGAGATTCCAATAACAAAGTTGATTGACAAGGTTAAACACGATGCCATAAGGGCAGCGTGTCTACTTGCTTATATACTTGACAGGAGGATTGATTGTACTGCTCATATCGAGTATCATCAGTGACTTGATACTCGGTCCAATCAAACGTTGTTGACGTGACCTGGATACTTGGTCCTCGGTGTCCTATTGATTGTTGTCAACGTGAGTCCTCTGCAAGTGGGTTGGTATATGGGTCTGTGATGATTGTTTGTGTACGAGATCCACGTTGTATCCACTGCAGTCCTTTTCGTACAATCTCGGTTTGTATAACAGATATTGCAAGTGTTGATTATACTGGGTATCACTGACGCGGCTTCACAGCTTGGTCAATCAATACTGCAGTTCCTTGGCTGCTCTCGTCTCATTGCATAGTCCTGTTTGTTCAGTGTTGTTTTGCGAGTTGTTCATGGATCGTAACAAACACAATGCCATAAGGGCAGCATGTCTACTTGTTATATACTTTAGCAGGGGGATTACTCAGATCACTTGGTATCAAGTATACTGCTCGTACCAAGTATAGTGACACAGCCTAACTGCTCCAGTTGCCCGACTGAGATTGATGATCATACTGAGTATTGCTGATGCGGCCTCACTGCTTGGGTCAATTGATAATACAGTTCCTTGGCTCTGTTACAAACACGTACAGAAGAGAAGGAACTATTGGACCTGGGGGCAACAGTTATTGAACGTAGGGAGAACAGCCATTGGAGAAGCTGCACCCATTGTACAAACTACCCCATGGCCACGTGAGTACACTAGGACAATACAAGTAGTCTAGCATCCTATGGGATGGAAGCAAGCAAGCCATGGGATTCTCACACAGTCTCATGTATCCTATGGGACTTTGGGACAATGTCTCATAAGACAGTAAGATACTGTAGGACTCTGTGTAAGGGGCGAGCCGCTGAGGGCAATATGCGATGTAGAACTTGATGGATTTGATAAGGGGCAAGTCCCAGAGCGGGACTTGCAGAATTCTAATACTCCTGCTTTGGAGGTTGCAGGCCCGCTCCGGAGATTGTACGTCCGCTTTGGAGGTACCGAGGCCTGTGCTGTTGCCGAGGCGCTAACAATGGGCCTAGCCCATTACACTCTGTACAATCATTCAAGTATATAGCATGTAGGAACACAACCCTTATGGTTTGTGTTCAACCTTGTCAACCAACTTTGTTATTGGAATCTCAGCCGCACTCAAGCCAGATAGTCTACTCTATACTACTCATTGCACCCAGATGCCACAGTCTTTGACTAGACATCTAAGACACAACCTCAACACATATTTCTGCGATGATTGTATTATGCACAACCATCAAGTCGAACGTATACATTCACTGAACATCGATGTCCTTTGTAGAGTTCTTTCCTGCAGCGGTCGCAAGTAGCAATGGCGTAAGCTGACACAGCCTACGTTTCAGGGCCCCACTACTCTGTCGATCACCAGGACCCTGACCCTTACAATGGGTTTGAGCCTCTCGTGACTCACATCTCCGACGTTCGATCTTCACAACACTTTTTCCCATGAAAAACACCGTTCGATCACAATACACAATGCCACCCCACGAAGGACTCGTTCACCAGCAAGAGTACGACTGGCGAGACTCCAACGTTGAACTGATTAACTCAGACATCGACCACAAAGTCAAATACCAATCCGCAGCCAGCGAACCAGCATGGAACAACGGCACCATCGGTAACCAAGCAGGGCTCTTCATCTGGCGCATCGAAGACTTTGAAGTCGTACCCTGGCCGCGCGGAAATTACGGCAGCTTCTACGAAGGCGACTCTTACATCGTGCTGCACACCGAAGAAGTCAAAGGCGATGCAGAGACTCACTTGATCCATGACATTTTCTTCTGGCTCGGCCGCGCAACAACGCAAGATGAAGCCGGCACCGCAGCGTACAAGACCGTCGAACTCGATGAATTCCTCCACGGCGCAGCGACCCAGCACCGCGAATTGCAGATCTCACCCTCGGACGCATTCTCCGCATTGTTCCCGCGCCTGAAGATCTTGCGTGGTGGTGTGCGCTCTGGGTTCAATCATGTTGAGACGAAAAATGAGCCGCAGCACACAGACACCCTGCTCCGCGTGTTCAAGCACCCCAGCTCCACCGCTGGACGTGATGCAGTCCTTGTGCATGAAGTGGAGCCCATGTGGCACAGCCTCGATGAAGGCGATGTATTCATTCTTGACAAAGGGGACAAGATCTTTGTTTGGCAGGGTCGGAAGTGTTCGCCGATGGAGAAGCTGAAAGCTGCACAAGTTGTCAACGATCTGACGATTGCGAAACACGTCGATGTCGAAGTGCTGAGTCAGGAGGAGATGAGGGGTAAGGTTGTCATCGATTACCTCGGCGGTCAGGATCTGGAGTTTGGTACAAGGTTCGAATGCGCGAGACCGGTGTCGTCTGCTACGGAACGGGATACCAAGAAGTTGTTTAAGTTAAGTGACGCAGGTGGTGAGCTTGCGTTCGATCTTGTGAAAGAGGGCAATGGCATTGGGAGGGAAGACTTGGACGGTGATGACGTATTCTTGCTGGATGTGGGGAAGAGCATCTGGGTCTGGGAAGGGAGTGGGGCGAGTCGAGCGGAGCGGGCGACGTGGTTGAAGGTTGCGCAGAGGTATTCGGGTATGCAGCTTGATGCGAAGGATCTAAGTGTTGCGAAGGTCAAGCAGGGCAATGAAGGGAAGGCTTTCTGGGGCGCTGTGGAAGCACGAGCAGACAGAAAAACGAGTCAAGAGCTGCATGAAGCACAATGAAGGAGCTGAAGGTTTCTCTCTTCTGATTGATTTGTGGGTCACACAATGTGAAGGGCGCACAAGTGAATCGCCGTACACAGCGCAGAAGGTATCCGAGGTCTCATGCGCGCTCAAGAGCATATAGTGCTGTCTTGAGCTGGAGGAACTCGAAAACTGTTTTGCGTGGCCACGGAATTCGGTACAAGGGCACGAGGTCGCTCGAAGGTCTGCTTCGACGTCAGGGGAAGAGTGCAGTGACGCCAGGGAGCGGAGAATATACAGATGGAACCGCCTAGGTCCCGTGCATTGCCTCCAGCACCCCAGTCAAGTTCTCGCTGACAGGATGCTTGGAGCCGCTGCAGTAGTCATTACACTTGCCGTTCTCGGACAGCCAGTGGGAACAAATCAGGCGCGTGCCCTTCTTAAGTCTTTTTGCGCGTTTGTCTGGTCGTCTATTTCCGGTCAGTCGTATAGATTCGATGCACAGATCAAGCATGTACTCGCTATCTGCTCCTCGCTTTGGTGAAGGGCCGGGGAGCGTGCCGTTGTAGCACCTTCCTCCAGACGAAAAGGGGCATGTATTGCCAATGCTGTGTGTAGTCGGCTATTGGCCTCTTGTAGCTCGAGAAATGTTGCCTTCTCCTTTGCGTTGTTCTTCCTCTCTTCTTCGAGCTGCTTTTTGAGATCCTCCTTATCTTGTTGAAGGCACTCTCGCTCAGCTTGCACAACCCGACACGCGCCATGGCATCCAGCGAGTTTCTCATGCATTGGCTTCAACTGATTGCTGTGTATTTGGTCGAGGTAGTCCGAGGCGTCCACGGTACCGTGGAGTCGGGACGCCGACTTCATGACTGCGACTGTATCGTGTAAGGACTGGACGTCGTCTTGCGTGCGAATAAGCTCCGTTTGGCAGTGCTGTACTTGCGCCAGCAGCATCTGTGACGGCAAAACATGCTGCTGATCTGTGCTGTAGGATGCGCACAGTCATTGTGAAATGTGCTGCTACCGTCAGGAGAGTCGGAGGTTGAAGGGAGTAGTGAGGACTTGACAGTGTACGTGGTGTTGGTGAAAGTGGGTGCGGCTATTCCAGACCTATGTTCCTAGGCGGCAGTGTTGGTGGGCTGCAAGGGAAAGAGAACCTGTTATGAAGTGAAAGTAAAAAACGATGCAATAAGCCAATCATCAACGAATGGATGGACGATGTGTAGTAAAACGGTACAGAGCATACAGAAACGATACGGCACGCTTGGGACCCATGGGGGCATCAGATCTCGCGTCTGCTCTGATGGATGAATGAGCTCGTGCTCTACATAGGTCAGAGTCTCTTATTAGTGCGTTGCACAATATCGAGGCCCCCTCCCCCTTCTTTGGAAACAGTGACGTTATACCTCAAGGCAGAGAGCTCTCGTTGGTCCGCTGTGTGTGATGTATATGCTGAAGTAAATGTACGTTGCTGGCGACACTCCAGGTGCTGTGAGGTGGCGTTTGAGTGTGGGTGAGGTGTCCAAGTATTGGAGTTGATGTGGGTTGACTAGTAGGTTGTGGCCGGTCCCATGCATGTTAACCCGTACTTTTTGAACCAAACATCTTACAATATTAGTGTTGGAGCGTAACAGAACCATCATTTGGAAGCCAGAGAAGCCGGGGACGATGAATACAAGCTTATATGAGCCATTCCCCACCTAAATCCTTGCAACCAGCCTGCCTAATTCTTCCCCAGCCACCCTACAGTGAGTATATACTCTCCATGTTCACGTTTTGATACTCACAACTACTTGTAGCTTCTCAAGCGGGTAAAAATAAGCGCAAATTCATTTGACGCGGCAAGGAGTTGGAAGAGGTGCTCTCCAGATTACGTCAGCCTGAACCCCCAGGCTTCACTGCTATCAACATCAACATCACAAGCTCCCCCCTAGTAGTCCTCGGACGCCACCTGCTGAGGTTTGTAGCGGTGATCCCAGTTAATCAGCAGCATGTTTTCAAGCCGCTAGAGTGGCGGAGGAATTGGTGGATATTGGAGAAAAGGAGGGAGAAGATGCGGTAGATGGCAATAATCTCAACCCTAATATCGACAGCAACGACAACGTCAATGTACACGTTCTCGCAAGAGAAGCCAAGCCTAGCGATGATGATGTTGAGCCATTAAGCTTCAGCCGGAAGCGTCGAACACAGCGTCAAACACAGCCAACGCCGCCAACGTCAACACCTCCTGAGCCTGAGCACGAGCCACAGGAGTCCTCCAATAGTGGTGTTGTTGATGATGTTGATATATACGATGCTGAGCCTGTGTGTGGGCAAACGCTTTTGAATGTCCTGTGGTACTTTTGCAAAACGCCACGTGAGGGGTCACTATCCAGGTGCATTCGAGTGGAGAAGCCTGAAACCAGCCTTGCTTAGAGCTCGATACGTTAGCTCGTTCACCCCTACGGAATGACGGATCGCCTCACGGGAGAATTTGTTGAAACGTTCTGTTGTTCGGCGGCACGCAAGCCAAACCAACGTTCGTCGAGTCAGGCACACGATACATGACATGTATCCAGGAGAGGCATTCGCCGACTTTGGAAAGCTGTGAAGTTGTTCTCAAAGGAGCGAAAACACTTGGATCCTGCCGATCTCAGCAGCCATGTAGTTGTCCCGGCATATTTGTAGATGGCGGCCACCGAGTTTTGAAGACCTTCTCGTATCGCCTATCAACGTTCGGCTTCGTGACGAAGGGAAAGGGACCTGCGCCCCCGGAGCCAAGCAAGCGCATACTTTTTGTCTAGAATGCAGGGCGGGCCGCCATCTGTACTCGGATTGCCGGCAAGCTCAGAATATTCGATGGTTTGCTGAACTGAACTGTGAGGCGACTTTCCAACTGCCTCCGCGCAAAGATCGTTGAATAACGGAGTGGAGCCAAGCGGCTGAAGCAAGTACAACGCAGAGTCTCAAGGACCAGTGGTAGAGCAAGAATGGGAGTAAACCTCGGCAGTGTTCCAGTGTATATATGATGAGATTGGCTGGCAATATTCAATATTTCGCTGACATGAGGTGCGGTGGCAGATGCAGCGTTGTGCAGAGGGCAAAGAGGACTCAAAGATTCGAGATTAGCTTCGTGCCAGGGCACCCCCACCAGGTCCGGCAACTATTCGTGCCCCTTTTTAGCGCAAAAACCAATGTTCACACCTACCCATACAAACACCCATACAAATCATGAACGCACACTTATTTTGATCAAATCTTGATGCACAATTATTGACGATAGTCAGTTGTATGGGTCTGACGATCTACAGTAATTTTTTGGTGTTGCTACGACTTTCTTATGCGCAGTTTCTCCCCGTTGTTTTCACACAACAGTTAACGTACCTCACGGGCGAGTCGGCCACACGGGTAAGTCAGCCACATTTGCCAAGACCCTACCAAAACACCCTTACTCCACCAATGCCTACCCAACAAGACTGCTCAGATGCATCAAAGGAGAGTCAGGTACAGCTTGCACTCCAAGCTGTCAAATAAGATGCAAAAATGTCCCAACAACATGCTGCATGTGAGAGGGGGCCAGCTGGGGATACCAACTGCTCTCTGAGATGGAAGGATTGGTGGAAGGATGGTTCAGGCTTGTTGGAGATAAGGGTGTAGAGGAGACCAAGTGTGGGGATACCACAAGTGGTAAAAAGGATAAGTGATAAAGAAGGGATCAAGTGTGGGAATACCACAAAGGATCAGTGAGGAGTGAGTTGAGGAAGGAGTTGTTGAGGTGAATTGAAGGAGTGGATTGAGTTTTGAATTGCAAGCATGAGTTATCTGAGCAGGAGGGCAGGCTGCCTTTATAGACAGACTGCTGGCTCCTGGAATGTTCTAGATACATTGGCATTTGTAATCATTTGTAATCATTTGTCAGCA